TCACCCACTAGTTTTTGCTTTACGTATAACTTTTGGGGCTTTACCCACCACATTGCTTTGAGGAGTGCATCTTTATTAGCAGACGACGCTCCCTCACTAGACATCGCGACCGACACAAAGAAGAAAAGAAAAGAATTCCAAGAGCAAGAAGGAAAGAAGATGGTGTGGACCCCTCTTATCCTATGACACAAATTTCATGACAATTAGACTGTTCAGAGGGAAGAACGACAGATTGTCTGCCGATTGTCCATAGCTATCAGTGATGGACAATATCCAGACAACAGACGTATCAGGTTCTAATGAGAAAAATTATTGAGCCAACAAACTAGACGGATCATATGCTGACGAGCATATCAAAGAACTTTGTCCCTCAGAATAACGATTGATTTTATTTAAACCGATCAATAGATAACTCTACCATGGTTGAAGTATTGTTGGAGTAAATGCAGAATGAACAGTTAACGAGCTTCACATCGTCCAGATGAGTCGACCGACCTAATTTTATTCAATATTCTTGTAATTTAATAGAAAGCCCCTCGACATGCTAACGATGATGGGTTTGATATGTAAATTTGTTGGACCAAGGGCCAATATCTATAAATAGGGTGTCTTCATAATAAAGGATTTATGCACTCTTTACTGTTCTCTACTATACTCTTCTTCATATCTTTTTCTTGTGTGATGTTCTATACCTTGGGTGTGTTTCCAAGAAACTTTTGGATTCAACATTTTTAGGTGTGGTAAGCGTGGATCATGTCATCAACAAGAAATTAAGCAACAATGACCAATCCTCGGTTTCAATGCTTTATCCCTTAGGCAAGGTCTACCAGATAAAATTGGATTCAACATTATGAATTTGATGTAATCTTTGGAGTGACAATTTTTAAACTTTAATATCACATGAATTCTGATTTTAGGAAATTTATAAGCAATTTGAATGTCTAGAATAGACAAATCTAACAACACATGTATTTCAATCAAAGATTTCCAAATCTTGTGCTTAAAATAAAAACATATTGCTTGACTAGAAAAATCCAATGAATGAAAGATACAAAATTTCAATCCCTTGAAAGTCTAAATGTTAAAAAAAATCTATAAGTGAGAAAATCAACACTAACTATTGAATTAAGTGTATTGAGATTATTGTTTGATTTAACAAATAGACATCCTCAATCTTTATATGGTGGGGATCTAGACGAGAGTTGGATAATTGAATAATTCTATAGCTCTGCCTGATATTTGATGTTAACAATCATCATTAGTAATTACCGTCTAACTATCATTATCCGATTGCCTTTGTCAAACTATCATTAACCGATCATTTTTGCTCGACTATCATTATTCATTTGTTATCATCGAATCATCTTTTCTCAACCATTATTTTCGTCTGACCATCGTTGCTCGTATGTCAATGTTTAACCGTCACTTTCTACTGTCATTTGTTTGACATTTATCAATCATGGTCATATCCATCATCAAATGGCTGTTATTATCTTCATTCAATACTTCTCTAACATTTACAACAACAATCACAAGAGATCACACTTCTATGCTGTACTTTGTAATATCATATTTTCTAATTGTGGAAAAAAATCAACATTATAATCTTTATTTACATAATAAATCATTTCATTGAGTTCATACCAAGTGAATTTTTTATTTTTTAAATTTTTATATAAAAAATCTAGAATATTCTACTAATCTGTTTATTAGAATCTTTACATAAAGTTAGAACATAATTTTTCTACTCTGCCATTATGAATATCCTGACATGTAATAATCTCTAATTATGTGGACATTTTCTATAAAACTGCACCATCAACAAAGAGAAGGATATGGATCAATCGATGTGTTGCACTCATTTATATATAATATTCAACCAACTAATTGATAACATATCTCCACACAACAAACAACATGATGTATTCATCGTCCTTATGTCTTTTAGTTGTTACTATAACCACTTACTCAAATCTCAATTTCAATTTTAAGTCAATTTCAATTTTTAATTTCGAGCACAATTTTCAATTCTAGTAGTTTAATATATATATATATATATAGCTATTATAAAAAAAATCACTTTATCTTTATACTCTAAAATATATATCTTTATATAAGTTATCATGGAACCAGAGCATCTCTAGCCTTATAGCATACTTCCCTTTCTTTTGCTACTTCACGCACTCCCTCTTTCTCGCTCTGCTTTCTCCTTTCTCCTTTCTCCTTCCCTCAATCAATGGACACTCCAACCTCTACATTAAAAGCACATGACAAAATCCATTTTCCATCAAACAACCAAAGTTCCCATACCTTCCGCATTAAAATTTCTCATAAATAATATCAAATCACTTGCAAACACAGCTCTCACCACAAACAATTATCCTATTTACAGATCACAAATATTCAAACTCTATACAACAAATGGATTTGCTGCCTTCCTAGATGGCACATCCATATGTCCTCCTCAATTCCTCAAGAAATTTATTACACAATCCTCTCTTAATCTTGGCACTATATGAAACTCATAGATCAAAACCTCTCGGTTGCTCTTTGCACAACCATATCACCTGCAATATTATCTCACATGCCTAATCCAACCACCAATAAAATCATAATCTCCATGCTTATGACCTTAATTAGAATGATTTCTCGTATGCTCAAACTCAACAAAATACTTTCATACCATGTTGTCGTGATGTGGTGAAGCACACATTAACGACACAAGTGCACGTATCGATCAAGTAATATAAAAAATTTTGAGTAGTGCACCTATCTAACTAAAAACTTATTAATTTTCAAAAAAAGGTGAAAATTCTAGTTTACTAATTCTTAGTTTTGTTTGAAGTGTCGAAATTTTGTAAATTTTAAAGTGTCTAAAACCCTAAGTAAAGAGAGGAAAGTTCTCTATAAAGTGAGAGAAAAACCCTTTAATTTGATCTAAGAAATCTAAAGTCATCTAAGTAATGCAAATGTTGTTGACAATCAAAAGCATTTCCATTCATCCTCTTCCAAGTCCATAAGAAGTCTCGGGATTTCATATTTCCATTTAATCTTCTAAACCATTCAAAAACCCCCAAGATTTTGTGTTTCCCTATTGATTGCACTATCCTACCAACAATATTTTTATTTTCTTATAAAAGTGTACGCAAACTTAATTGTTCAACTAGCCTTCTTTTGTCATCCTAGATCACTATAGGTTTTAACTATCTAAATGACCAATTTGGAAGTAGATGAAGCATATAAATTAACATATCAACATTTTCAAAAAAAAAATTAACAATCACAAGGCATGGATAATTCCAAATTAGTTAGATTACCAATCCAAGGGAGATAATAGTTTAGTTATTAATCATGAAAGATAAGCTTAATATAAATTTTATAGAAATCAAAGTAAAATGGTGTTTACAATCATGAACTATTAAACTCGATAAAAGAACTTTTTTATTCCACCGCACTTTTTCCCTTACAATTGAGATGTACGATGTACTATAGTTTATAACAGTGAAGATGTTGCAGACTTAGAGCAGGATTGATTGCAATTAATTTCCAAATGGGAGATTGTTATTATGTGGAGCCTGATTGTCTTTATAAACTAGACACTCAAAACTCTCACTTTCATCGATTAGACTTGATGATGAGTTTGTGCATGGGTATGGAGTATTTCCCCTTATATGGAGTGTTGCCCCCAATTTTTTTTTTTATGTACCTAGCGCCCTAATACCAGAAAGATAATGTAGCATTGCCAAGACCATGTTCAAAACCCGAGATTTGACAATCTAGTGCCCGAAGAGGAGCACTGCAGTGCTTATATGCAGCGCTTCAACGTTGTTGCGCCTAGCCAAGATCTATAATCCAATAGCACGACACTACAACGCCTCTGATGTAGCTCTCATTGAATCACCACAACCCCGTATCACAACGCCCTAATGCCCCTAAGTGATTTAGGAAAGTTCTTACTTATTGTGCTGTATTTGTTGATGAGTGTATTGGATTTTGATTCCTTATATGTAAAGGAGATGAGATGAGTGTTTTCAATTATTCAAAAGCGCGGAGAGACTTGAGTGTAGTATAATTTATACAATTCTCCTTATTTTTTTTATAATGAATTTCTTAGTGTGGTGTGACTGTAATTTTTTCTCATCCTCACAATTTTTCACGTTAAATTTTATGTTCTCTGTGATTTTTCTAATTTTATATTTGTTTTCAAAGATTTATTTGGGATCTCTTGAATTGGTTTCATACTTTATTCACATCCGCTACAACAAATTTAATTTTTTTTTTTTTTTAAAAAACAAGTTGGGAAAAACAATTTAACCCAAAATCTGTCCAAAAAGAAATATATATGTATATTTTTAAAAAAAATTCTGTCATGTCACCTAACTACATCAGCTAGAATTATAAAAAGAGGCATTTACATACATAGCACACAATTCTTAAGTATCTACATCTAAACTTCAATATTTACACACATCATACTTTAATCTATGATATCACAGCAAAGATGACAATAATACTATTTTTTTTTAAATTAAAATAAGCATTTTCATGCATAACTTTTAAGAACCAAAGTGCTTACAAGTATGAAAAATTAGGTGTGAAGCATGTGAAATACATAAAAATTGGCTCGCACTTGTTTGGCTCGTTTATATTTCGAGCTCAAAAAG